AATTTCTTTCTTTATTATTATTATTATTATTATTAACATTGTTACCACTAGCCAACCAACCAGTCAACCAACAAATCAACCAAACAACCAATAATCCAGTCAACCAACCAATCAATCAACTAACCAACAAGTCAACCAAACAACCAGCCAACCAACCAGCCAATCAATCAACCAACAAACCAGTCAACCAACCAACCAGCCAACCAACCAACCAGCCAGCCAACCAACCAACCAACCAGCCAACCAACCAACCAGCCAACCAACCAGCCAACCAACCAACCAACCAACCAACCAGCCAACCAACCAACCAACCAGCCAACCAACCAACCAGCCAACCAACCAGCCAACCAACCAGCCAACCAACCAACCAACCAGCCAGCCAACCAATCAACCAACCAACCAACCAACCAACCAACCAGCCAACCAACCGATTTTATATTAATCAGAATATCAACATCAACAGGTGATGACGACGACGACTTCTTCCCTGATGACGACGATTCCGCCGCTGATGCTGATGACGATTGTAAACACCTGTCAATCAGTTCATCGAGGGGCGGGTCTAAAGATTTGAGCGAATCAGAGAGCAGATCGCAGACGATGTTGGCGGAATTTTCAGGAAAAACCTGGTCACACCACTTCAGCTAATAATAATAATAATAATAATAATAATAACTAATAACAATAAAAATAAAAATAATAATAATAACTAATAACAATAAAAATAATAATAATAATATTAGAAAGAGAAACCTGATTTTGTAGGAACAGTAACAGCTCGTCATAAAACTTGTTCAATTTTTTCTTCAAAGTACCATCGTCATCATCATCATCGCCACCACCATCATCATCATCATCACGTCGACGTGCTATACGATCGTTATCATCATCGCTACCGTCGTCGTCATCTTTCGTTTGTACATCTCGCCAGAGTTTCAGTATTTTGGCCTGCCAGGTTTGAATAACAACAACAACAACAACAATAATAACAATGATAACAATGTCAATAATAATAACAATAATATTAACAACAACAGCAACAACAACAACATCAGCAACAACAATAACAACAACAACAACAATAGCAACAACGAACTTTCTGGCACTTATGGTAATACTTGCATAGTTGGGAAATCCTCTCGATATCTTTAAATATCTTCACATACCTCTGGGCATCATCTTGATAAAATAAAATAATTATTTATAATAATAATAATTTTAATAATAATTACCTCATAATTAAATGATTAATGACGTCATAATCGCGTAATTACATCATCAAGTCGTAGTTATTGAGATGTGTTCGTGTGTGTACGTGTGTGAGTGTGTGTACGTGTGTGTGTGTGTGCGTATGTGTGTGTCTGTGTGCGTGCGTGTGCGTGTGTGTGTGTCCGACCTAGGTTGAGAGTAGCAAAGGCGGCGACTACAGCCGTGCTAGACATGGCCTCCAATCTATTCTTCAGCATCTCCAGGTACTGACATCTGTCCGTGTAGTCTGGGACGTTTGTCAGGATGTGCTGAAGATGAGGATGATGAAGAGGATGACGATGAAGAGGAGGATGACGATGAGGATGGTGATTGTGTAATGATTAAGATGACGATGATGGTGATGATGGTCAATTGACTGATCAATTGACTGATCAATCAATCAATCAATCAATTAATCAATCAATCAATCAATCAATCAATCAATCAATCAATCAATCAATCAATCAATCAGTCAATCAATCAATCAATCAATCAATCAATCAATCAATCAATCATTTATTCATTCATTCATTCAACCAAACAATCAGTTAATTAATTAACCAATTAATCAACTAATCAATTACAATTTCTAACCAAACTCTGTTGCATGCCAATAATTTTGCTCGATATCTGTAGAAAAAAAAACCATAGATATATAAAACCAAAACATAGATACATGTGACAAATTTGTATAAAAAAAGCACAGAAAGACAAAAAATAAAAAAACATAGATATAAAATCGTAGACAAAATAGCATACGGCTTCGAGATCTTGGGAGTCAAAAACCTCATCGACATCTGAAGACAGTGTTGTCCAATTATCAGCCTCCTGAATGAACGAACGAACGAATGATTTAATGAATGAATGAGTGAGTGAGTGAATGAAAAACATACCAGCACACTGTCGTTATAGACGTGAGACCGAGATAGAAACTAATAGTTAGAAATTGATAAGCATGCATTGAGTAATGAACCGATTGTAAATTAATTAGAAGGTTGTAAAGTAATTAAAAGAATATAAATTCATTTATGGACTTGACAAATTTATGTGGCATATTCACAAGCACATCAGTAGCTATATAAAGAGAAGAAGACCCAGAGAAAGGAAAACAAAGAGGAAGAAGACGAAGCGCAGGGATAACTAGAAGTGAGATTCGATGCGAAGTCGTAAATGTAGCTATTTGGATTAATTTATTGTTTCTATTACTGCTGGTATTAAATAACCAAGTCATTGCCAGCGCTGTTTTTTTTCTGATAAAGTTCATCTTGAATAAGTCTGTTTATGGAAGAAGTCAAGAATTCACGTAAATAACCCTGACCCCTACAAGTTCAAGGGGTCGGTTATAACATAACGTTTCTGCAAGTATATTGTGTTTGTCTGCGTATGTTTGTGTGTGCGCGCATATATTGAATCCTGATCTTATGAATGAACAAGCACGCACACACACACACACACACCTTCAGAGCGTCAGAAGCCAGTTTCATTCTACTCTTAACTTGATCAAGCATCATCAAGTTTTGCATAGAGTTCGCCGTGTCATGTTCAACCTGGTAATATAAATAATCATAATTATAGTAATAACTATTATAATTATAATAATGGCGACGACCATGATGATAATGACAATACTACGGCGTGGTGGCTGAATGGTTATAGGCGTCTGGTCGTCCTGCTGTTGTAGTGCAGTGACCTGGTTTGAATGCAAAGAGATCCAAGCCCATCCCACAATGCAACGTTTGTATGACGCGTGGTTTTCACGCGTATTTATATATATATAATATATATATATATATATATGCTGTGTGTGTTTGTCTGTGAAATCTAAGAAGCAAGAGCCCGCAAGAGAGAGAGAGGGAATGACCTTTAACCTATGTATGACCTCGACATAAATATAATGAAAATAATAAGAAATACCTTTTGTATATCGTATTTCGCCATCTTCATTTGCTCCTGGAGCAAAGAGGCCTCTTGCCTCACTGCCTCTAATTCCTTCGTCACCCTGAATGAATGAATGGATGAATGAATGAATGAAAGTGTGAACAACAAATAAAATGATTGCCAGCTTCATTCAGCCCGTCAGCCAACCTTGGAAGATTGTTGATCGCTTGCTGACAGCCATCTTCAATAACGTTATTGACCTCCTTTCAATTAATTAGGTCAGACAGACATAAATAGATTGGAAATATATAGATCAATGTAGGTTAAATTATATATAGTTCGTGAATATGTAGACCAGTAGGTTAAACTATGTATGTCATACATGTAGGTCAATAGATTTGACATATATAGGAGGTGCATGTGAGGCTATGAATTAGAAAACCAATTATATATCATTACAAAATATAGATACCAGAATTATACATAATATAAATAATAATAAATACTATTTTCTATTGAAATAATTTAAAAAATTTAAGTTTAATTAATTAAATAATCAATTATTAATTTAACAGACTTGCATGAACATCTGAAGTTTCATAGCAAGAGTTGAGGCATATTGCTTTTGATTAGGAAAAAATTAAAAAAATATTAATTAATATAATAAATTTAATTAATTAATAATTAATTTTGATTATTATTTATTGCCATAATTATAATTATAACAATAATAACTATAAGTAATTAATACACACAAGTAGGTAGAAATACACACATATACAAACACCATTCACAAATATAACCAAAAGATATGCCACCAGACACACACACACACACACACACACACACACACACACACACACACACACACACACACATACTTCCACACTGCCTTCTTTTTTGGCTTTGAATGCAGAATTTATCCATTCTTTAGCATCAAACTCCTCATCGTTAAATTTTGAATAATCCTAATTTTAATTAATTAATTAAAGATAATTAGTATTTATAATTCAGTGCTGGAACTGGAAGTAAATAAAATAATTTATAATAACAATAAAATGAAAAATAAATAAATAAATTTTCATTTCATAGTGTTGTACGATTGCTGTATGTATGTCTGTATGACTTTATAATTTTATATGGTTGAATTTTTGATTTAAAATTTTAAATTGCACATTTTTTGAGAGTTTTTGTGATTATGGATTGATTTAATATTAATTTAACTTGAGGTTTTTATGACAAATTTTATTGAAATGAATATTCATTTATTTATTATGTTGGTTATTTGATTCATTTAATTAATTAATTTATTTATTTATTCAACATTTAAATCTCAAATCCTACCATTTCTTGCAATGTTTACACACGTTGGAAAAGCTAGTAACGATATTTTGACTACGTGTAAAAAAATATTAAAAGTTAATTTAAGTAACAACTGATTTAAAAATCACTTTTAGTAACAATTAACATTAAAAAATAACATAACGACTATTTTTTGGATGAAAATATTAATTTAAAAATATTTAATAATGCTTAATTACTAGACTTTAAAGCAAAAACGACGTTTTTTTGACGAAAACTCTCATTTGATAAACAAATAACCACACAGGTGTGTTTCATATGAGTTTGAATTCAGTATTTCCATGTTTTAAAATCAAAATAATTAAATTTTCGAATAATGACATTTATCAGAGGTAATTTTAATTTGTTAACTAATATTTTCTTACACAAATTATTTGGTTTTTGTTCTTCAAAATCAAATTTTTAACTAACATTTTAATGGTTTTTCGTAATTTAACTTATAAATTTATAATAATTAATAATATCAATTTGCATTGGGGAAGGAGCAATATAGCATAGCATATGAATGTATGTCTGTTAAATTGTGCCTTTTCCAGCATAAATAATTTATTTATGGTGAAAATTATATTTATCTTGGCATATAATTCAAGTAATTCTTTTTAAATTATGGCCAAAATAATGATTTTGTTAATTTTTACAATCAGCTAGGTGGCTACTAGGCCTAAGAACCACACTCTTGGCTCCAAGTCCAACCAATCATTTTAAAAACTTCTCCAAAGTTATTGGTTCTACTAAAGTTAGGTGCCTTAGCTCTGCCCAAATTTCATTTTATGACACAATTGACAAAGAATTGGAAGCAATAAGAAATGCTGGGACGTGGAAAAGTGAAAGAATTATTACAACTCAGCAGTCATCGACTATAGGTGTCATTAATAGGAAGGAAAAAGTTCTGAATTTTTGTGCTAATAACTACTTGGGACTTTCAGTTAGGGATTAATGATGATTTTTTTGAAATTTTTGAAATTTATTATTCTTGAAATGTTACATTGTGAATATAATGTTTGTAATTATTTTTAATTATAAATCATATTTTATTATTTGATTTAGCAAAGAAATGAAAATGATAATTTTTTAAAATTTAGAATCACCCAAAAGTAATTGAGGCAGCTAAATTATCTTTGGACAACCGCGGGAATGGTTTAAGTTCCGTGAGATTTATTTGTGGTACCCAGGTTATTATTATTATTATTACTATTATCATCGCCAACATCATCATTATCATCACCACCATCCTCATCACCACATCATCGTCGTCATCATCGTCAACTTTATACTACTGATAATAATCACCAACATCATAATCATCAACATAATCATCATCATCACCGTCATCATTATCAGGACATACACAAAGAACTTGAAAAAAAAATTGCGAAATTTCACAACCGCGATGACGCCATTTTGTTTAGTAGCTGCTTTGATGCGAATGCTGCCATTTTCGAAGCCATCTTGAATTCCGAAGACGCTGTTATCTCCGATGAATTAAACCACGCCTCAATTATAGACGGAATTAGGCTCTGCAAGGCCCAGAAGTTCAGATATCAACATAGGAATATGATTGGTTGGTTGGTTGAAATCGTGCGGTTGTTTGGCTGGTTGAGTGGAAAATTGTCTGATTGGTTGTGTATGGAATTTTGTGATTGGTCGGCTGATTCCGTGGGAAATGGTGTGATTGGTTGGTTAGCGTGGATATGTTTGATTGGTTGGATAGTTGAACGGTCGGGTGTTTTAATCACCGTTATCGTCATCATCTTCTTCTTCTTCATCATCACAACTCTCACCATCGTTGCAATCACCATCACCACCACAATCAATCAACATTGTCAGATTTGGAAGAAAAATTGAAATCAGCTCAGACCAACCGACTTCGATTAATCGTGACAGATGGCGTATTCAGTATGGATGGCAATGTTGCCCCGCTCAAGTGTTTTTTTTTCTCTTTCTTATTATTATTACTCATTCATTCATTCATTCATTCATCAGGGAAATAAGTGCATTGGCCGACAAGTACGATGCCTTGTTGTTCATTGATGAAAGCCATTCTACTGGATTTTTCGGCAAAACAGGAAGGTTTGAACGAATGAGTGAATGAATGAATGAATAAATGAATGAACGAACGAGTAGATAAATGAACAGACGAACGAACGAATTCATTCGTTTACTCTTTCATTCCATCATTCATTCCCAGGGGTACGGAAGAGTACCACGGGTTGAATGGCAGGGCGGATATCATCAACTCAACGTTGGGCAAAGCTCTGGGCGGTGCAGCGGGTCTATTTTTGTTTGTTTCTATTGTTGCTATTGATTATTTTTTATTATTATTATCGTTTTTTGTTAACATTTATAATTTTTTCTGGTTAGATCTATAATGTGTAATTAATTATTTGTGTTATCTATAGATTGATCATAAATATCGGTGTTGATATTGTATAAATGAATGAATGAATGATTAAGTGAATGAATGAATGATTAAGTGAATGAATAGTGGATGAATTAATGGATGGATGGATGGATAAATCAATCAAATTATAATTTATTACAATCTCTAACAGGTGGTTACACCACAGGCAATCAGAAACTGATTGACCTACTGAGGAATAAAGCCCGTCCATACCTATTTTCCAATTCTTTGCCGCCGGCAGTTGTTGCTGCTGCGTCTATGGTGTGTTTTTTATCTATGTTTTGTGTATTTTTCATCTATTTTTTTCTGTATCCTTGTTTTTGGCATCTAAAAAGAAATAATAACTTGATTATTTTCAGTCGTTTGACCTAATTATGGCATCATCTGACCTAATTAAAAAACTTTCAGCCAACACTTATCTATTTAGGACGAGAATGCTGAAAGCTGGCTTCAATGTACTGGTTAGTTTTCATCATTTTTATTGGTCAGTATTTTAAATTGCTCGGTTTCTATTGGTTAGAATTTTGCATTGTCTAATTTGCTTGATTTTTGTTGGCCAATATTTCAAGCTTCGGTCAGTTTGCTTAAGTTTCATTGGTCAGTATTTTAGATATGAAAAATTATAAGAAAATTATAATTATATTTATATTTTTCAGGGGGACAAGGACCACCCCATATGCCCCGTCATGTTAGGAGATGCCAAACTGGCCGCCTTATTTGCTGAAAAGATGTTAGGTGGGTAAAATAATGGTCATCATTATCGTTATTAATTATTATTATTAATTATTATTAAATATTATTATTATCCTTACAGATAAAAACATATTCGTTATCGGTTTCAGTTTCCCCGTGGTCCCGAAAGGTAACAAAATAATAATAATAAATAATAATAATAATTATTATTATAGTTATTATTATTATTAATTATAATTAGGTAAAGCTAGAATTAGAGTACAACTCTCGTCATCGCATTCGTTGGACGATGTTAATAAAGCTGTCGACGCCTTCGTTGACATAGGGAGAGATCTCAAATTAATTAATTAATTATTCAATTTTAATTAATTATCAATATTGTTATTATTGTTGTTGTTGTTATTAGCATTATTATTACTATCGGTGATGTTGTTTCTTTTTTGTTAACGAGAAATTATTTCATATTTTCCAGTTGCAAACATGATCTGAAAATGAAACAATTTGTGTGTGTATTTGTGTTTGTTGTTCGTTTGTATGTGTGTGTGTTTGTATGTTTGTTGTTCGCTTGTATGTACGTATGTTTGTTTGCATGTATGTGTGCGTATGTAGAAAGTTTATTGTGATATTAGATTTTTAAATTGAGCTAAGAGCTATGTTTTATTTTTGGAGACAAAATGACATGTATAATTTATTTCATTTTACATTCTTTCGGGGGTAATTTTAATTTAACTAATTTATTTATCAATCTTTGCTTATTAACTAAGTTTAACATACGACAATAACGGAAAATATTTGTTGTTCTCGCTAATACATACATACAAACAAACACACACATACATAGACACACATACTTACACATACACATTTTTTTCTAACTCGCTTGCTAACCAAACACCTTGATTTTTTTAATTTTTATCGGAAAAAAATTCGAAAAATTGTTATTTTTAATTAAAAGTTGCAAAAATTGCGGTCTTTGAGTTTCACACACATACACACACGTAAACGCACGCACACAAACACACGCACACACAATTAATAATTGAACAAATAATTTAACTGATGAAAGAAAGAATGTACAATTAAACTTCAAAATGAATGAACGAACGAAAGATGAATGACTGGTTGAATGAGTGAACGTGTAGACTGAATGAATGAATGAAGAAATAAATGAAGAAATAAATGAAGTAATTAATGAGCGAAAGAACGAATGAATGAATGAAAGAATAAATAAATAAAACTTAAATAGATGTTTCTCGTTGAAAAATAGCTAAACTAAATTTTTTCCAAAACAACAACAATAATAGTAACAAAACACACATAAATATGGAATGGTTATATATATATATATATATATATATATATATATATATATATATATATATATATATATATATATATATATATAACAACATTAATAATAATAACATAATTAATAACAACACAACAACAAAAATCATTGTTAAATAAAACAGTGATAATAGTAAGCTAAAATAATAATAAAGATATTAATGATAATAACAATTTGTTATATATATATATATATATGTGTGTGTGTGTGTGTACATATATATATATATATATATATATATATATATATATATATATATATATATATATACACACAATTAAATCATTATGTCTTTTGGTAATATTTAACATTAACACCACACCAATAAATTACCTAATTAATTAGCTGATTGATTAAATTGACCAATTAATTGATTGACCAATTAATTTTCAATAGTTAGTGTAATTAGGGTTGGTGGCGAATCCCCAGAGGGGCGGTGCGAAACGTTGCTGACTTTGAAAATACTGCGTTATCGCCATCTCGGTCGGGAAGTTAGTGGCACCAGCAGCAGCGGCGTCAGACGACAACGGATTGAGATTGCGATTTGGGATACGATTGGGAGGATTTGGAATATGATTGGGATTGTTGTTGATGAGATTGGGATTGGGATTGGCGGCGCTGAGTTGGGAGTAGTAGGGGAGTGTGTGGTTATTAGTTGTACCGTTTTGTGGCTGGAATATCGGCGGCACGATGGCGCTGCTGCTGATGACATTGCTATTATTTGGTCGCCTGTTGTTCATTAAGCCGTACGAGATACTAGACAATGGTGATGATGATGATGAATGATAATTATTATTATTTTTGTTGTTGTTGTTGCTGTCATTTCCGGGAAAAATCTCGCAGCGTGATTGGCTGTTGCTATTTGTGGGCGGAGTTTTGTTTTTGCATGCTGATTTTGTCGGTTTGTTATGTGGCATACTACGCATATTATTATTATTATTATTATTATTGCTATTGCTATTACCGTTATTATTATTATTATTATTATTATTATTATTATTATTATTACTGCTATTGTTATTTGGCATATTTGGCGACGATGATGACGACGACGATGATGGTGGTGAATTTTTGGCACAGCTCAAGAGCTTAGTATAATTAGTGTTATTATTATTGTCGTTGTTGTTGTTATTATTATTATTATTTGTAGTAGAAGAAGTTGTAGAAGTAGTAGTAACGCTTTTAACACTGCTGTTCATTAAGTTCAAAAATGGATGTTGTTGTTGTTGATGATGATGTTGTAGTTGTTGGTTCATACCATATGAATTTGGCCCAGAGAAGCAGGAAATGACGTCAATATTACTGTTACTATTTATAGAATCGTCGTTTCTATTTATAGAATCGTCGGAAATTAACGACATTTTCGTTGTTGTTAATTTTGCGAGTGATGATGTTGCAGTTATGTTTGCGCTGTTGTTGTTGTTGCATGTTGATACATTGCTTAATTGTTGGGGACTTGTGATGACGTTGTTGTTGTTGTTGTTGATGACGTTGACATTTTGATGATCCTGATTACGATTGGAACGAACGTTGGTGAACTTTTTCTCATTTTGCTTCTTCTCTTCACAGGCTGCCACAGCCTGTTCGAAACAGTCGAGCATTTTGGGGTCCAGAGGCAGTTCCAACTCGATGATTTTTGCGCCATCTACACCGTGTTTTCTCTTTATATGTCGCCTAATTCCGTCGAGTCGTTTGGTGGTGTGGGAGCAGCCGGAACAGCCGAACGGTTTGCTGTCCGTATGAACGAGTAAATGTCGTTTTAGGTGCTCAGTTCTGCCCAATCGACGATCGCAAACCGGACATTTGTAAGGTTTGACGTCGTTATGGATCACCTGATGTCTTTTTAGCTTACTCTGGCTGAAAAATGTCCGGCCACAAAAATCGCAAGTGAACGGCCGGAAGTTGATGTGGGTCTGCAGGTGGCGCTGGAGGGTGTTCCAGTGTTGGCAGGCGACGTTGCAGACAAGGCATAAGGCCCCGACATCTCCCTTTAAATGTTTGTAATATTCGTTCACGTGTGCCATGCAAAGTTTTCTATAGGAGTCAAATCGATCAGGGTCATTAGCCGCAGCCATTGGAAGGTAGGATTTTATGATCCCTTTGGGGTTTGCCAGGAGTTTGGAATCTTCCGGAAAGGTTGTTCCCAAAAACATGCTGATTTTCTGACTGCAGTTTACCATGTTGTTGTCGTTGGAGGTTGTAGATTTGATTTGTTCACATGTAGCTGCAGTACAAAATACTTTTTCGTCAACTGATTTGGATTCAATTTGATCAGGAGTTAGGCTGTCATTGCCATCCTCATTGGCATCTTGAAAAGAATCATTAACATCACCATAGTCACCATCATCACCATTGTTGTTAACATTGTTAAAGTGATCATCATTATTATTAGATATGCATTGCAGTGAGCTATTTTGTGACTGATTTATGGGGTATGATGATAATGATGATGATAATGATGGTGGTGGTGGGGATATTTTCAAGGACAATTCTGGGAATAAGATGGCGCTATTTTCATGGATGTTGTTGTGGTTGATATTTTCTGAACAGGTCTTTGTATTCATCCTTTATAAATTTACTTGGTCAGTCAGTAATTTTTTTATCTTTGTTGAAGTGTAATTATTTAAAGCTTATTTGATTATTTTTATTTAATAGGTTCTTTAATTAAGTGTCACTAATCTACTTAGTTAGGAATTAGCTCAGTTAGCAATATGAAAATTATCAAATGACAATATAAATATTATAAATTAATTAAATTATAAATAATAAATCAATTTTATATTATTATAAATAAAATAAAAATTAATTGATTATTAACAATACTTTTATTATTTATTTAATATAATTTTAAAGTAAAGTAAACTGAAGAAAATTAAAAAATTAAAATTAATTTTGAACTTTTTATTTTAAATGATAAAATTTTAATAATTAGAATCAAACTGACAACTGAAAATAGCCTAAAATAAAATAAAATTAATTAAAATATATAAAATTCTGGTATTGAAAATTACACTAATCCAAGTTTAATTTAGTGTAAAAAATAATGTTTCGCTGATTTAGCAGCAAAAAAAATTATGATAAAAACACAAACGTAAGCGACGATGGTAAAAACTAAAAGCAAACATTATGGAAAGTCGATAAGTTTTTATTACTTTATTAAAAAATAGAAATAAATTTAAAAAATAAAACTTCCTAAACAAACGCCAAAAAACGCCAAACTTAAATAAATAAAAAATAAATTAACTAATTAAATAATGTATAATTCCCACATACACACACAAACACACACACATACACACACGTAATATAAAACATTAAGTATATACACACCACTGGTATTATTATTGTCAACTATATATATATATATATATATATATATATACATTATTGATAGGTGACAATATATATATATATATATATATATATATATACATACATTATTGATAGCTGACTATATATATATATATATATATATATATATATATATATATATATATATATATAAATATACATACATTATTGATAGCTGACAATATATATATATATATATATATATATATATATATGTAT